GGTTTATTGGAACGATGGTTCATTAGATCGAAAGAAATTTAGTTCGATGGTTTATTGATTCGAAGGTTCACTAATATAATGGTTTATTGGTTCATTGGTTCGAAGGTTCACTAATCTAATAGTTTATTGATTCAATGGTTCACTGATTCGAAGTTTCATTAATATAATGGTTCATTGGTTCGAAGGTTCATTAACCATCCGAGCTTAGAGCCATAACTAAAATTCATTGACTTAGCATTATAGCATATTAATATTTCTGGACTATTAACATCATTTGACTATTGTGGTGAATCACACATATTGAAATGACAGATAAAATTATGTTTATAAACTTACGGCTTTTCCCAGTGGTGAATCTGTAATATCAATTCAGAAACCGAGTACGTAGAGAGGTGCTTCTTAATGACACTTAGTGGATAGAGACAGATATAGTTCAATAATATTTTCATTTAAGTTCCACATTGATTCAACATACATAATAATAGACAATGTAAGTATACAATGTGCATAGTGTGTGTGTATACATTCGAGGTTCATAGATACTTAGACAATATGAATATACAGTGAGTCGATTCAAAGTAAAGGTTAACCACGCGCTTAGAAACAATTATTGATTTATAAAAACAAAAAGATTTCTTGAATATGAGGCACAAATCATATTTTTTTATCTTTCAATCTACGTTATTTCTTAGTCATGCATAATTCACGACTCCAGAGAGAGAGAGACGGAAAAATCTCATCCCGACACACACAGACAACCTTGGTGATCTCGGTATCGTATTTTCTACGGGTAACTCAAATTTTTGGAAATGGAGTAGTGGTACACAGATCGCTTAGTTGGGTTTTCTTTGATGACTGACCTTCTACCCCGGGAGGAGATGAGGGCGAGGCTGTCTTATTCCCAGTCATCGCTTGAGGCCGCCACCCCACCACCCGACGCTGGGGAGGCCGCGGCTTGGCTGACAAAACCCCTTCTAACTTAACCTAGCTTTAAAAGAGTATTGTGACTTAAGAAAACTTGAACTGGTGGGATTTTGCTGACTTTATTATTTTAAGGGTGGGATTTTATTTTACTGAGAAACTTGTCATGGGGGATTTTGTCCTTGTAGTGCGTGTACTACTTTAAGGTAGTACACAAACAAAACTATTACTGTTGTATCATATAAATTATAGTTTCCGCGTTAGTTAAATTTTAATTGTTTCCTGGCTCACTCGAAAAATTCTTACTAGGAAGTGGAATTCGATTAGATTGATTATCGCTTAAAGTGTTTTAACCCTTTCTGTGTCGTGAGGATAAACAAAAAACAATTAAACAAGAAATAGTTTAGGTTTAAGTTCCAGCGTTATTTTGGTGTTTTGCCGTTAGTTAATCAGTTCGAGGAACGTTTGTGAACCCTACCCCATAAGGTTGTGATGCGCTCACTGTCGAGTTAAGTCATCTACGGGAGCTTGGGAACAAAATCCGATCTTACAGTCTGATGTTATAATAAAAGTTTGAAGTTGTTACAAATAGCTTACAATCATTCTTCGTCGCAAATTCTCCAGTTAAGCCCTTTAAAGAGTCCGAATTCTCTTCATTTAATAACTTTGATAGACTTCTGTTTTCTCCTAACAATATACATATTGCATACACGGAGATATTGTTCCACTCTTCTTATCACTTGTAATCTGTGCCTTATCATCCTAAATATTTTATACACTTATCTTTTTAAGACAAAATTCAAAATGAGTAATGACACTTCATATTTAGAATCCCGGATACAGTGCAAGTGATGAAATGTTCATATTTCTTCATTCTTACCTCACTGTTTGCCTTCTAACTGAATTATCTCTTTCCCGGGACTCGACATCCGTTGCTGGTCTACAAATGTGAGTTTTCAGCTTGTGACAGCGAGTAAAGCACACATGTCAACGACTATGGCAACGTGAGCTACCACTGAGATAAGCAGCTGGGTAGATAATGTTGTCTGTTCTGCATATTTGAAAGAGAAACAGCATCAGATCTTTTACTAATATACCGTCAGAACTAATGCTGGGTGAGGCCGTACACACTTCATCACTTTGAATAACCTTTAAAACTTGTCACATATAACTTGTAAACAATGAATAACAGTTTTCAGTACAATTCACCGGATCTCGTCAAGAGCGTAAGTGTGTGTGGTGGTCATGATATCTTAACCTCGGTAGGAGGAGGGAGCACTGAGTAGAGACCATAATTACATTGTAATCATTATCATTCACGTAGTCACACCTCTTTTAATCAATCAGTTTTACTATTTTCTATAATTATTGTGAAAAATATGACCAATTTTTAAATTGAAGAACAACTATACTCATACGTTTTGTCTTTTCTTAATAGAGATCCACACCGTGTTAAGATATGTTATGGAAATCGTACACAATTTTCTCCACACTTACCTATATCACTACTTAGATTGTTGTCCAAGCTTGTTGTCAGCACTAAGATGTTCATTTCATTTGTTCACTCTGATTGTTGACAATGACAACTGCTGGTATTGTTTATATTAATTCTGAATGTCTTCAGTCTTACGGTATTTGAACAGCCACTAACGTGTCACCCATGGGACTTGATTTGTCCGCGGCCACTGATCACTGAACAGCGCTTTATTTATCATTTTTGGAAACTTCTTAGCGTACAGAAACCAAAATAAACGGCAACATGATAAAAATAATACGACCAAGTAATGCGGGCGTATAAAAGTTCACCAGGGACATTAACACTAATACTTTTAGCGTTATTTCTCGGCTTGTGCTGACGCTCACTTGCCCATGTGACGACATAGCACAGCTGATCGTATCCGCACCTCACAGCTGTTTACGTTTCATTATAAAATATCTTGTACTAACTGGCCCCGTTTTAAATGTCAGATTACAGGGCAAAATTATCGGTCATCACTTACTGTACATTTCCACGTTCTTATTGAATTGCGCAGTTGCATAATTGTTTTCCGTGCCAGATGAAATACGATGGCACAATATACCCAACCTTGGTGGGAGAGACATCCAGGATGTGTCAGGTAATTTCGATAAAGCTGATTGTTTAACATGCTATTTTCAGAAACCTTAATTTTAATTCAATTTAAATTAAGAAATACTGAGTAACAAATAAAGACTACGGGTATTTACAGTTTAAACAACCTATAGATAGCTAATGCATAATTATATCAGTGTTAGTGTTACCATGCTAGTGAGATAGAAAAAACTACGAATATCTTGTGTTAGGTCACCTCCAACACCTATACCAGTTTTGAAACCTGGCACAATCTTAACCCTGAGTCCTAACAAATGTGTTATGAAACGCTCAAGGACCTCGTCCACCTTCTCACGAATATAACTTAGAACAAAAGTTGGTCAGTTCTCAAGGTGAACAGGCCACAGGTGGCATAATATTCTATAGCAGTGTTTGTTTTACCAGCCCTTATCTTAAAGCGAAAAGGGAATTATGTATGCGTAATAATGTAAACGTCTAAAGTAACTTACACCACCAACAGGTTCGTCACAGTCAGAAACTATATTATAATTTATGTAAAAAGCTGTTCATTTGCTAGAGTTACCCCTTGAAATGGTAACAAAGGGCGCTCTATGTTTTCAAATACGCTGGTTCTCCTTTAATCAGTAAAGCTGTCCACCCATCGCTCCAGCAGTACTTTTCTAGTATATTACTCCATTGTTATTTTACAGAATATTGAATGATTTTTGCATGGGTGGGATGGAAAAAAATCCTAAGTATTCTTTTGACTCATTACGTATATCACTTCCCACGGTGAAGAAATTCACTCGAGATTATGTACTCTACAAATTAAGAAATTCATTTATTATAAAAAAGAAAACCAATGAAAGTATATAACAGTACACTGGGTCAAATATCTGCGCAAACAGTTTTAAACTGCGCAGACCTGCTAGCTCTTTTGTTGCGACCCGTTAAGACCCTCTGCTCTCGCCCTCTCTCTTTTCGTCCACTTCCCAGGCTTAGCTGGTAGGAGGGCCTGCATGACCTTGGCTCTCTAAATATCTTTGTGTATTAATGAATATTCAGATTTATAATATCTGATTTCCAGTAAAAAATTGTATGCGCTTTGAAATATTGCTTAAGTAAGCATAAATGATTTCTTTCATTATAGTCCAAATTTGTGAGCAAATTTTCAATTGACAAATCAAGTTCTTATCCGTTATGAAACATTTATAAATATAAAGCAATTCAGTCAACTTCATCTGTTAATTGTACCGGGCGATGACTCCCAGCTAGTTGTGTCCACGTGACAACAGTCTGAGCTTCGTCAAAGAATGCCCGTTTTCTCTCATGGCCATCCAACACTTCCTATTCTCTTTTGTATGCCAATTCTCCTTTTATCTGTGCAATTAATGTTTCTAAAATTGTCATAGTAAGTAACCTCCAATAAAAACGTTTCTGCGGAGCGAACCCCAAAGTTTGAACGAATATACTCGATCCCGTGACGGTGTTGCCAGTTCTCCCAATCTTGACAAACTTTTAAGTGAAGTGCGTACTACTGTGGCATTTTGAGTTTTAATTTATTAATATAATTGCACCGTAGGTATGACTATCAGCAACATATCTGGCCAAATGTTAAGTACAAATTTCACCAGTCACATGGCGACAGACTGGACCGCAGGGCCTCACTCAACCCACGTAATGCCAGACTTCCACCTCACCATGGTAGCATCTAGAAAGAGGATCTTTTTGCTAGTCTTTAAATTATATACTTTATGCCAGGAGAATGATATAGTTTGAATGACTATTTCCTTTTTATTTTTAAATAAATTATACCGTAGTAATGCCAGGTACTGCTTTCCATCCTTTGGTTGGTAAAGAAACTCATGTCAATAAAACTATTTTCAGTTTTATTATAAACGTGTGTGGTGACATTCACGAGGGTGGGTCTCGTCTGGTACGTGAGCACGATAGACACGCCTAGTCGCGCTTACTTGGCGGATGAGAACACAAAATGAGACAGCACATATACAGACAACTTAAGCTTTATTGACTTTCACACAAAATGAGACACTTGTCACTCCTATGAAATTAAAGAATGAAAATTATCTTGTACTGCCCAAAAAACACATCAGTTCAGAAGAGATGCATTGTAGAAAAATAAAATAGGGAGCCCTGCTTGCTTTTGGTATCAATGGAAAATAGACACTACACGAGGTGTATTGGCGACTCGTGCGCTGGTACCGCACCCTGGTAACTCCTGCTTCTCTGCTGCCTGGTCGCGCCGGGGTCCCACGACCCCACCACCCGCGCGGGCGTGCGAGCGGAGGTCTTGTGGGCGGCAGGTGGGCGCGGGCGTCGCCGTTGCTGGGTTGAGGACGCTTGAGCTCCATAGAGCCGGGGGGGCAGGGCGAGGGGCGCTTCTATCATTCACACTCACGCGCTACTTCTCTCACACTGACTGTACAGGTACGTGAAATATAATACAATACAATAATAAAAACTGGAGCAGAGCCCATCGCCCACAGCCCCCCGGCCGGGCATCCTCAGGTGGTCCCCGGCTTAGGGATGCATCGCCGGTCTTCATCAGCAGCTGTCGTCTTACGCATCCTCTGCATCCTCATCCTCTTCATCCTCCTCTCCTTCTCCCTCTTCGCCCTCGCCTTCCTCCTCTTCTGTCAAAAGGGCCATAATTAGTTAAATGAATATGAAATGCCAAAGCTCCTACTCTTGTCAACACATTCATAATTAGTTATATGAACATAAAAATGTTTATCTTCGTATCATGGAGAACAAGTTCCCAAGTCTTCAGAATGAATGAACAAATCATTATAGAAAGAACCTCACCTTCTGCTTCCTCATCAAGTTCCTCCTCAGCATCTGCCAGGTCCTCTTCCTCCTCTCCCTCCAAGTCCTCCTCCTCTTCTAGTTCCTCCTCACCATTCTCCTCCCCCTTCAGCTTCTTCGCATCCTCTGCCTCCTCCTGCAAACAATGAAAAACTTAATAAAGGATACTAAAATAAGACAATTATAGCTTGAAAGACCAACTTCCGGCAATGTTCAAATAACACAGGATACAAACTTAAAAACTGATCCAGTACAACCAGCAACCGCTATATTTATGGACATGCAGGGTTAACAAAAACGTTGGGCAAGACGTTTACTAATAATACCTGCCAAGCTCATTACTACGCATTTCATACGATACCGCTAATACCATTTTTTATCTCCCACCCGGTCCCCTTCTTTACCCTCCTGCGGCGTAAGCTCCTCAGCCACCCCTGTGGACAAGCTCCTTGCCCCCGCCGCCGTCAGCCGCTCGCGAAGTATTTTCGTCTCGGGGAGCGGCGGCGGCGGCAGCGTTACCCACGCCGCGTCCCTGGCATAAGGATGAAAATCCCCCGCGCCTGCACCGGCGCCTCAAGAGCGAGAATCCCTTGCCACACCACGGGGACACCGTAAGGGCGAAAATCTCCCGCCTACCTCACTTCCAAGGCCTTGTCGGGGTGTTGAAAGATCGTCCCTGAGGCGCCCCCTGTAAGGGCAATAGTACTTTGGCAACCCCCAACAAGCCGATATAAGGACTAAATTTGCTAGCAAAAGCACATGACTTACCAGACGTCTAAAAAAATCAATATATATGGAGCTTTTATATGCAAAGCTGAAAATATCAAAACTAACATTTAAATAAAAATCGAGTAACATCCTGTATCAGAAATCTAACAATATCCCATAAATATCATTCACTATGAGCCGACAACTTTGAACTTAAATTTGAAAAATAAAACAAATAGAAATAAAAATATATTAAAGTACTTTCCAATTTACTGACTGGAACTGAAAGGTTCTCGCTCACATCAGTAATCTAGTTGCGAATCAATCCACATTTTCGGTTTTAACCAGTATACGTTGATAAAAAAAACAATCTTCAACGTGTTTGTAACCAGTGTCCGACTTCACAAATGCCAACTATAAATGAAACCAGCAAATAGATGAAACACAGTAACATCTATTCCACTAATGGATTTGATAGTGTAGGTAACTTAATAAATCAAAAGGGCAAAGGTTTTCTCGGTGCGTGAGCGAGAAGTGTCAGCAGGTCTAGAGAACTGTCATGGGAAAGCCCCCACCACTACCCGCCTCCCACACAACTGCCCAAGATACCAAAGTAATTTTAATATATCCTTGGGTCAACAAAATTAACCCTTACCATCTAATCTGATCACATTTACTTACTGTGTTCGCATGCCTAATTCCGCGATAAGGTTATTTGTCATCTGTAACAAAACTCCATTTACTCTTGTATTCGTGTAAATTAAATGTTGACAAATCGTATCACTTGAAACACGTCTATCAAATGTTGACAAACCGTATCACTTGAAACAGCTAAGTTTTACTGTGAGAACCTACATTGCTGGAAGTTTCTTCAGTCGACACAGGATTACGTTACATCAACTAACATTATTTCTTTACATTTCACAAGAATATTCAAAACGAAATAAATAAATAAATAAATCGAGTATATCGTATGAATTAACGAGTTCAGCCTTACTATAACCCCGTAAGTGAACTGTCAAATTCAGGGTACTAACCAATGGTAAACATGAATTTTTTTTTACAAAAGGTACACTAACCTGGCACTTGTCAACACGTAAGACCTATACAGGAGTAAAGTTTATAAAGTGTACTAACTGGTCAAGCATGACAAAATTAACAATTATGTTGAAAAAGATTAGAAAGTAAGTATACTATAAGCAAGTTGGGTTGCGCGCCAAAAAGAGCGCGGGAGCAGCCTCTAGCTAGCCTCGCACAGGGCCACCACCGCAGCTCCCGCCAACTTTGAATTTCTAGCCTCGCACAGCCATCCACCCACTAACACCTTATAAAACAAACTTTCCTCTGATAATACCCAATAACACTCCTTCACTCTATCCTATTATGGCAAATGATAGAATACTTCAAGCTTTTACCATGTAGTTCGGGGTCAGTGCCAGTCACTACCACACTCAAACTCGCATCTAAGGACTTATGAATTTTTACCACGCGTGACATGAAAACTAGTTAACACTTAAACACTACTAAAACACACAAACGCTTCACTAGTTTCCACACAGTTCACTTAAATCTAGTGTTCACTATCTACTCTGCCATCCAGCACTTGTACTCACTCCACCAGGGACTCAGACTATCACAGTGGCACGAAACATAAGTCTTTGAGGCGGCCCGGTGTGCAACTTCCAAGACGACGACAAAAAATAAAACCCACTTTAATTAACACACACTACTGAGTTATTCTTGGCTGACACGTACCTCAGCTGCCCTTTTGGTTCCCTTTGTGACTTGTTCGTCAGCGTTTGCAACAGACTTCTCCGTGGTGGACATATTGGTTGTGTCGAGACGTACACACGAGACCGATTTCAAACGAACTGATGGCCGCGGTTCACGCCGCCACCTCCCCTCTGATTGGCTGGCCGCCCGGCTCTTACTCTGACGTCACTCCAGCCTATCATATCCCTTTATTCCTATTTAAACATATATTTATAATAAAATTAATATCAATTAAATCAGTAAAAAATATATAAGAGTAATTGAATCTATATTTTAATTATAAATATAAGTAATAGAGATATAGTTGACTCGGGTCGTTAGCCAGGTTTTGGTGACGAGACTCACCCTCATCCGGTCCTTCTAGGCTCCTTACCCTTGGATCGACCTGTCAGCCTCTGGTCCTCAGTTTTTAATCGCGATATATCCACCTCTGGCAATATGGTACGTGAGTGAAATTCAATCTGGAAAGTTAAATGGACATTGGAGGTGATATATGTGTATAAATATTTTCTGGAAATGGCTTACTAACAAGGTGATTGGTGAAAATACGTAGCCATGTCTAATCCCCATTAGGTCGAAAATCCTGTGTTCTGTGTTTGTTTACATGCAGTCAACGTGGGCACTGGAGACTGAAAAATTACAATTCTGAAGATTATTACAGGATACTAGTGGCTAGAAACTGATAATTCTTGGCAGAACAATGGTAGGATGTCTCTTGCATATTTCTGTTGCCTTGATATAAGATAATTTACACTGAGCCTAGTAGAAGGTGTCTATCAAATGTAGGCCACCATCAGCTGATTAACACCATGTCTCGTGTTAAATATCTTGTGCATGAATATATGGAATTTGACTTGATATTTTAGTGTTCTGAGTTTATTGAACTCCTTTATCACAATGTAATAACTCCAGGACAGCTCCAGCATTTATTAATATATAATTAAGTGTAATGGTCCCTAGGCCTAATGGTCCATAGGGTTATGTTATACCCAGTGATCCTAAAGATGAGGCGAGCACTGTCTTGATTTTTTTTAAAGTGCTCTAAAATATTTAGTATTGTTTAAAGTTCACTAATGATGGTAAAATATAGAAAACATGGGTGTCTCGACCCTTCAACGAGGCATGATTTTCCCGGTTTACTTAGGCTCTATTCACTGGTGATGACGGTTGCTTGTGCAAATACTTCATTATTGAGTTGAATGGGATTGCTATTTTATATATTTTTTTAGGTGAGGGGTTTGTAACTGCTGCAGTTGTTCATTGAGAAGTTTGACGAAGCATTTGCACTAAAAAAAAAATCAATGTCTCTTTGATACTCCTTCCTTCCTTAGGCTTTAGTAAGCCCCTTTATAATATTTATACAGTACTGTATATACTTGTGACACTTGCCAGATGCTTCTGGTGTTATTGTACAGGGGTACCTAGTGACCACTAGGATCCTGCTTCCTCTATCAAGGAATAAACAATTGAAATTGAATGTCTCGTTGGGGGGTCCGACTAATTACCCAAATGTAGCCGCAGTGAAGTCAAATAATGGTCTTACATGAATAAATCGGACTGCCAATCACTTCTCGACTGGTATTTGGTGTCACGAAGTCACAAAAACTGGGTAAACTTAATTTAATCTGAGTTAATAGATCGAGTGCTTGTACCTAACCTAACCTAACACAACTCAGATTAAATTAAGTTTATCAATTTCTTGTGACTTTGACACCAAATAATAATCGAGAAGTGATTGGCAGTCCGATTTATTCATGTAGGACCATTATGTGACTTAACTGTGGCTACATTTGGGTAATTAGTCGGACCGCTCGTTGGGTCGTGGAACCGATATTTTCTATATATTAGCTACTAATGACAATACCTTTTATTTGGAAGAAAATTAGTAAGTTACTTTCCATGAATTGGTATCTAGTCAGATGTACGGGGAAGACTGTCAACGTTCAACTTGTAGCGGATGGTCTTGGATCGGGAGTGAGAGTTTTGTGACTTCCAGAAGCTTCCGTTAAAGATGGAAAGTGGCCTAACACATTTATATTCCACACTGCAGTCTAGAATATTAATTTAAATCTCCCAGTTAACAGGGCTGTGAAGAAAGGGAAAGTAAAGTTATAAATTGTAATTGGAAACAAATCTGGTGTATTTTTATGCGATTGGCTCAAATCTGACATTCGTTTTATCGGAAATCACTCCTTTTGGATTTATCTTCCTCCCCCCCCCCACCCCCATAATAGTTCTATTGCTTGCGTGTTCTGAATTCCTGGTACTCTGTGCTTGCTAACTTATATAAACTAAACCTTACCTAACCCCCTAGCCGGACCCCAAACACTATGTGTCACGTGGTCAGCCTCCACGAAAATATAAGTAGCCATTACAATATTTCTTACCTTACTCCGAGTCAGGGACTACAATGCATCGTGGGTTCCTCTGTTCTCTAAAGTTTCCTTATTTTTAGAATGAAATAATACAATAAACTTCCAATAATTGAAATCGCACCCAGCGCATAATGGCTTCATGTTGTAACAGATTCAAAATGTCCCGCATCCTACCACCCATGCAGAATATCGAATGCTAATTGGTTGAATCTAATGTTTTTATTTTTTATTGGATTTGATTGGCTGCCCCCCTCCCGCACATGCGCGGGAGGTAAGCAAATGTACGAACACACACAATTTGAGCAACAGGCGGTCTGATTTTATTCTTTTAAAAATTCAAGAACTTACTTCCTTATCAATTTGCAGCTGAAGTGTATTGTAAGAAAATGTCATAGAAAAAAGTTCTGTTGATTGAGCGTATTGAATTTCCGGAATTCTGTGGTTGCTGTATACTGCAATATTACCGGTTTTGTTGTTTAATCTTATCTATGGAATAACTTTAGCTGCATTTATTTTATTTTTTTGATCAATGGAAAGGACAATGATGCTGGGAAGTGTGTGCATCACCATACTAGGAAAATTCAGATCCTATTTTGGAATGTTACTAATGTGAGAAAGTAATAATAGAAGATCAATTGCTTGCCTTAACTAGTTATCTACTGTATGACATTTCACCGTAGAACGTATACAGTACTTTATCGTGAAATTGACAAAGTGCAGGAGCAATACAGTACAATATATACGTTTTGCATAAAACACTTAATTTTCATTTTTGTTAATTTTATAATTTTTGCCTCAATTAAAGGCCATCAGTCTATAGTACTGTATTGTAATCTCCATGTTAGACGGAACAATTGGTGCAGAGCGCTTCTGGATTTGAGATTTTTGAGTATTGTGATGGATTCTTTTATTCCCGTAAAAAATTGCACATCGACAGAATGTTTACTGTCTAAACACCACATCTGGCACGGAACACCATTGCTATGTAGGCTTAGCTGTAATTGTACAGACTGCTGTACTGTATTTATTTGTGCAAACACTACTGTACACGTACTGTCCAGTATATTGTAAATACACAAAATATACTACAGATAGTCCACTGTTTTTCCGACCCCTGAGAATCTGAGCCAGGCCGGACCAGCGGTTTTTCCTAACCATCGGAAGTTTGTATACAGTACCCCTGTATAGGTAAAATCCTAGACAAAATTTATAGCAACACACCAGATTTACACCATGTCTTGGCTGTGATCACCACCACAACAGTTGATGTTATGAGCGGTGTTACCAATTCTGAAACTGGATTATTCTTATTATTATTGTTTTGTTTGTTTATGATTTTTGCCACTTATCCGCTTTCTAGCAGTTTGGGTGCTCTATCCAGTGTTAGTACAGAGGGAAACTGGGGACCGGGAAACCTGTGGTGTTCGGTAGTGAGGGTCACACTGTATAACGCCATTCTCACGTGTGTCTGGGCTGAGGCTCGAACCCTTGACATATTGGTGAGAGTTATGCGAGTTACCGCTGTACCTCCAACACCACTTACCAACTTCTATGAGGAATATGATATGATAAATACCACTAAATGTAAGGAATTAATAAACAAAATTACTTTTTGTGCCCATTTGACTGTTGGTTGACAAAATTTGTCAGGAGACAACTCTGGTCTCTCAAACCCCCCTACTCTGGAGAGTGCGTGGTATATTTGAAATTCCGCCACTGTAAAACTGTACGGACCAGTCATTGCCAGGAATTCGGTGTCGTCTTGAGCTTGTGATGCATAGGCCCTTGATGCAATCTCTCGGAAGTTCATTCAAATGTTCAGAACGGAGAAATTTTTCTCTGAATGCTCTTTTTTCGGGTAATGTAAAGTTCCTGGGATTGAAGAAACTGGCAAACGGGGATATTGCTACAGTCCAGGCAGTCCCCTAAGCAAAACGGTAAATGAAATCCAAAATACCACAGGCTCAGGTGTGCTTCAATTTACGAAAAGTGTACATTCCTGAAAACTTTCGTAGATTGAAGCCTTTTTTTCCATTGACTACCATTATATAGAGAGGTATTTTCCTACCCCCAAAAATACTCCAATTGTAAAAAAAAAATTCTTTTCGCAATTTTTTGTAGGAAACAATACTGTACTTACAACCATACCTTATGTATTAATCATACTAACATTAATGAAGTACTAGTACAGTACAGGGCATGCAGTTTATTTTTATTCCTATTAGATTATATTCTACTTACGTTGTGTGGGGCCTGAGTTGTCATTGGGATGTTCTTGTTGGTATGCGTGTGACAGGCAACTTCTTCCTTCATATCAACATATTGAAATAATCAGTTAGAAATTTCTACCTCTAAATTTGGTGTTTGGTTAGCCATACTTTTAGAGCAACATACAGTAGCACCATCATGGCATTATCTGTATAGGCACAGAGACGTTGCCACCCATTAGCCTGTACTACAGTGCTGCATGCTACTTACTGTGTGTTCAGCGCGGGATGCTCTCGGATGCCTGTGTCAGCAATTCGGCATCTTCTGGTCCTTCAAAAAAAATGGTGTAAAATATATTATTCTTGTCTAATTATTGGTTTATAATTTTTCTGTACACCAAAACTTATAGTTAAATAGGGTACAGGTTTTTTTTAGCATTTATTGGTGTTTTTTGGGAATTTTGGTTTCTGTAGGAACGAATCTCTGCCCTTATAATGTCTTGGAAAATTTGCATGGCTTTACTAAAGGGTTTTCATGAATGGAAATTTTTAGCAAAGTAATTACTGTACAGGGGGAAGTATTGAGGTATAGTATGCAGTTTTGTCCATTATAAATCTCGCACAGCCTTATTGAAAGTTCTTACAAATTGTTGTTGTTATTATTATTATTATTATTCGTGTTTTAAATCTATTGTTTCATAAGCATGTACAGTACCCGGGAGCTTAGATATTTGTAAGTCAAGATTTTTTGTAAACAAAATTATTGAATGGAGACTGATATTACTCTCTGTTTACAGGTGAACATTCCAAAGACCAGGAACACTTTTTGCTGGAAGTGTAAGAAACATCAGCCACACAAAGTTTCCCAGTACAAGAAGTCCAAGGTGAGTCTTCCAATTCCTTTAAAAATTTTAGACGTAAGTGATAATTTGCAGTAGAGATACTGTACTGTATTACGTAGTTGGGATGTTTGGAGTCTTAATTTAATGCTAAAAATTTTTACATTAAATATTTGTAAGATGTATTGTAGTATTTGTTATAAAAAAAATTTGCTTTTTATTTTAATAGTTTACAAATAGGATGAAAATTGTCACAAACTTAACACTGGTGATGTGCAATAACAATGACCTAAACATATAAGATTGATAGTCAGCTCCAAATATATTGACTACTGTATTGTTAATATGTTTATGTTGTCTTGGTTAGTTTTGTTAACTATACAGAACAGTACAGGTATACAGTACAGGGTACTTGTTTCCTGAAAGGTATTTGTACTGTTATGGATTGCTCACATGACATAACTTTACCAAATGTGTGTACAGTACAGTATATATATTGGCGAATTGGACGGTGAGTCTTTTATAGACTTGCAAAGGTCTGCATTTTGGAACTTTATGGTTAAAAAAATCTTGCCAGCATTCAGGAATAGAAGTACGGTACGACTGTAGCATGTGATGTACAAAATACTTACGTTAAGTTAGACTAAATATATCTTTGTTGATCGGACCCTATAGTAACACTAGAAATACTGTATGTTTGTTTCTTAGAATTGGAACTTTTTGTTATTTAATGACAGGTTGTAGTCAACTTGTAACACAACCCTAAAACTGCTGAATTAAAAATTTATTCAACGATCACCAGTATAAGAAATCGATGGCAATGAACTATTGTTAAATTCCTTGCTGCCATCATTAGAATATTGTATTAAGATCACTGTAAAACTCTTCCTCTGCTTTTGACTGTTTAGTATAGTAGTATTCAGTTATAGCCGTGATAGGACTGTGTTGTGTAGTGCTTGAGCTTAACATTGAAAAAAAATGCATTAAAATGTTTCCACTGAAGGTTTCCTCCATTGTTGAAAATAGTAATGGTAGTAGGACATGTACAATAGATATAATTCACAAGATTGTGAGAAAATACCCAGAATAGCCAAGTCAGGCGTGATGAAATAACAACCGTTTTGTGGCGACTTATATTTTACTGAAACTTGACTTTTCACTTGATATAGTAATGGCTCCATGCCAGTGACAACATTGAATGCAATTGTAAACATTTTAAAACTGCAATGTTATTTAAAAGTAACGAGAGAATCCAAGAGACCTTGCAGCATGGAGAGCTGCAATCAGGTAATTGCCGCTAACCTACGCAGGTGTGGAAAATTACCATAAAATGATATTAACCTAAAATACTTTTAAATTTGGTTAGTGATAAATACTAGTGTATCATTTATCTACCCCATAGTGTCACTGGTTGTGGAGCTGCTTTGTAAATCGGTGAATTTACTGTATGTGTCTTGTACTGATAAAGTTATCATTCCTGCACTTGCTACCTATCTGACTTGGTGTTTGATGGGAAAACTTTGCCAGGAAGAGAAAATCCCACTCATTTCGATCTTTGGTTTTTTATGTAAAACCAAGGCACCAACAGGGTGGAACATACAAGTGAAGTTTTGACAAAAACTTAATTTTCCCATTAATTTATAATATAAAGAACAGGTTACTTTTTTATATGTGTACATTGTAATACATATTCTTTAATTCTTGGTAAAACAAAATTGTTGACCCTTCTTGCAGGAGCGAACATTTGCCCAAGGTCGCAGACGTTACGACAGGAAACAATCTGGATACGGTGGTCAGTCCAAGCCTATCTTCAGGAAGAAGGTACAGTAATCATAAATGAGTTACAAACATTTTCCACTTCATAATTGTGTTAGTTCATAATGTGAATGTTATAAACCTCCCAACATTCTGACAAGTTCATACTCTACGTCATCTTTCCCGGGGACAACAATAAGAGGGTTAAGGTCACCTATAAGAGAGCTTAAGGGTACCTTCTCCCTCCCTGCACTACCTTGGTTTGATTGCAGTAAAGAGGAAAAACGCACGTTTCCACTCACCTTCGTCTGTTCTCAATTTACTACTGTAGTGGCTCCGTAAACTGCTCGGTGCCACGCTGTCATTTTCTTGGTCTCCTACTTTCTGGGTATCTGTCCAATTATAGTATTTGATCCTCAAAAGACACACACACACACACACGTTAAAACTTCCATAATTCGGAATTATGTTAAGTTCTCTCTGGTTTAAAGGTGACAGCCGTTAGACTGACATCAAGCCATTGTTAAAGGCAATGTAGTTTACTTCTCAACACAAGTAAGAAATTTAGGTCAAAGTGATTTATAGATTTATAATGTAAACATGAGAATCTCACATTTGTGGTGAACTACTGTATTGTATAAGGGGGTCCCTGGGTTACGAACGGGTTCCATTCTTGAGGATGTTCTAAAGTCACATTTGTACGTAAGTCGGAACACATGCTACGCGCATGCCATACTTGCAGAACAATGTTTAAGTCCCACTATATCATAACCTAAGTCCTTATATACATCTAAAATCACTTAATTTAAGACAAAAGAAGAACTAGAATGACAAACACAGTAAATGAAAGTAAAAAAAATACGTCGTCAGGTGAATAAAATAATGTAAATTTCAAGTTTAGTCTCGTTTGTATCGTCGGGCCTTCGTAAGGCTGACGTTCTTTAAGTCGGAGATCCCCCCCCTGCACCTTTGACAATTTTCGCGTGCAAAGGTGCTGGAATGCTGCTCTGGTGCGTTCCGGCACAAATTAAGCACTGCCTACTATCTTACACCATTGTCATCATCCCTTTGTTCTCTTCCTTCCCTGTTCCTGCTTGAATGTTTCCTGGACTCCTCTTCTACTGGTACAGCTATTTGTCTGTGAAAGGGTACATTCCTATTAAAAAAAAACATATTGAAGTCTAATAAAAAAAACATACTGAAGTCTCATAAATTGGGAAGGCCTTTCCTAATAATTTAAAGGGAAAAAATTTGTACGCTTATAAGTACACAAAGAATTAAGAGTGTGTACCAGAGCTACATGATCTCTGTAGGCTTCATTCCTGCACGGGATTTTATAAATGTGAAAATTGTTAATGTACTTAGAAAAATGGCCTCTGTTTACATTTTGTGGACATGAAATTTGAGCTACCAGAAGTATTTAAATAGGAACAGTGATGCTTGCCTCTGAATGGTTTTGCTGAATGCTTCTCTTTCAGGCTTCCACCATGTGCCTTCTTTTCTTTTATATTTCTTAACTAATTTCTCCCCATAAGTAGCCAGCTGCTGCTTCATTTATTCTTAATGCCATTGTCCCACAGCATACTTCCTTATCTTTTATAGCCTCCCTGAACCAGTTTTTGTATATATACTTATAAAATCTCTAATGCTGACGCCTTCTCTCGGTTCTCCTATCAATACCCTCACCTAATGATTATATTTGCTCTCGTTCTCTTTAAGTTTGGCAAACACCGGGTAATGATCTGGTAGATTTGTCATTCCTATTACTACTTTAGCATCTTTTGCATGATGTGAATTATACTTGGATGTACGAGTGTGGGAGGAGCTGATTTTTATGTGTGAACACTACATTGTTTCTACCTGACCAATTAGCCATTATTATTTCAACTCTGACAGGCTGGTAATCTCGGGGAGTAGAGACTATTTTGTTAGCGGAGGGTGTGATTGGAAGTTCCCACAGTAAAAATGGGTTGGAGATGGGAAGGACATACACCCATAAAAATTGCTGCAAATTTGCCTGATGGCAACTGGGACACCCAGCCATCAGGTAAACAAAGCTATCTCACATTGTGGGAATTTTCCATAAAACAGGGATGAGGAATACAAGTCGTGGCAATATTTTTAAAGTATTTCCTGTGAAATAATCCCAACCAAACATCATAGAATTATGGTTGTGGTAAAAAGAAGTATATAACCACAAGTAGTGCTTACCTATTTTAGAGGATAAATTACATGCTAGTCAAACCAACAAGCTTTTCCAATGGAGAAGAACCATTGGGTTTGTATCTCCCTAGACATGGAGCGGGTAATATTGTGCAGTAGTTACCATTGTTTGTTTGACACTTTATGGATCTCCTTTGTAATCAGTTTTAGAACTGGTATTTAGTTGATCTTTAGTCTTTTGTAGGAAATATTTTGTGATGGTTGTGTGCACACCAGCAGCCTTTAATTTATTATTTATTCTTTTTTTTTTCAGGCTAAGACCACAAAGAAGATAGTGCTGAAGATGGAATGTAACAAATGCAGAATCAAGACCCAGCTGCCCCTCAAGAGATGCAAGCACTTTGAATTGGGAGGTGACAAGAAGAGGAAGGGAATGATGATCCAGTTCTAAACTGTCTCTTGAAGTAAAGAAAAAAATCAGTTCTTAGTTTCATTGAACCATACGTCAATAATTTATGTTGTAGTGAAAGTCACTCTTTAATGATTGGCATTTTACATTTATCATTGCTTGTCGTACAGCTGACAGCATTGGAATTCAGGCACTACATAAGCTTATGTAAGGGGATAAACAGTAGTAGAGGGTAACTGGTTAAATCAGCCCCAATCCCAATAGGCATCAAACGTAATGGACCCTGTTATACTATACAGCTCCTCCCCGTCTTACGACCTACTACCACCCACACTTAGGACCTGCCTCAGTCGTACCAAAATTTGGTCAAATTGCGTATTTTCGAGTCCCAAAGTCAGTACACAGACAAAATTTTTGTTTGTAATTCACTTTAAAATGGCTGGCAAGCTTAAAAGTGAGTGTTTTGTGGTGCTGAGAAGAAAAAGACACCCATTTTAGATTTTCTATGTATTATTAAGCATTTCCGACTTACGACCTGGATTTCGGTCCCTAACCCCGTCGTATGTCGGGGAGGAGGTGTAGTTAAATTTGGGGATCATTTGCCTTGAAACTTGTTGGGGAAATGTACAGTATTAAGTATGATGGAAAGAAATTTAAAGATAAATAGATTGAAAATGCAATGAAATGAGGATATGCTGAGCAACTAGTGAGCTAGATGATTCGTGGGAATATGTTCAGTCAGGAGAATGGACCAGGTTAGCTTGTATCCCCCATGCTGGGTACATCGAGAAAAATAAACCTCCAAAAATGATAAAACCTATATAGACCATCTAGAAACTTCCCAGTGGCGAGGGAGATAAGGGGGACTGCTTGTTTTGACGGCGAATGCTAGTGGTCACTTACGCACTTGGTGGCTATTTTCTGCTTGCCTTTGTGTCTGGGATGGCCAATAATGCATATATTTACTGATCAATACTTATTTCCTATAAATAATTCATTTAAATTATTTTATTTGCATTATTTTTCATAAAAAGTGCTCAGCGACACGCAGTCTGTCACCAGGCTGTCTTCGTGTTTGGGAGAGCAAATAATGCATAGAAATAATTATCGTAATAATAATTCCACAAATAAATACTATCATGGCATTATTTTCCAGTAATACAATACAACTACACTACTTTTAGCAATATTACTTTGATACAACATGATAAAATGGACAAACAACTCTCCATGGCAACAGGCTAATGAGTACGAACCCACTGAGCCTAACCTGCGTGTGATGTAACCACCAAATAGTCATGCAGGAACCTGATGACCCTCTCTGGGCATACAAACAATGACGCAAAAAGGCAAGTGTTCCTGGGCCCATGAGATGAAAGTCAACTGGGGTTAAGGGAGGCTGTTAACCCTAAGGGAGAGTTCCCTGACCTGCCTATATGTAGATCAACAAATTTTAATTTTTAAGTTCCCAAGACGTCTGAAATTAATCTACCGGTAGTTAAAACATGACAATTGGCAACTTCTTACTATACTGTAGTTTTAACGATGACGAAGTGCCTTCCTTACAAAAGAATTCACCAGATTCATAAAATTTTCCTTCAACCAATATCTCCCCAAATTTGTGATGAATACATGTATAATGATAGTGACCAATATCATGAGCCAAATTATGTTGTGAGCAGTGCTAGTGAGTGGGTGCAACCAGACAGTATGACCATCACCCACACCAACCTTCCATGTCTGGTTGTCTGGATGCTGGTTCCTCTTGGGTGTTTACCCCAAAAGCAACTAGTCACTGGCAAAGTCTGTTTATGAAAAGAGAGGATATTTAAAGGAAATAACCAGCGCAAGTGTGTGGGTGAGAGAGATGTGGTTTCTCTGTCCTAACCAGGCCCCAACCACACTACCACGTGACCTTGATGATTCGTAGGAATCAGACCAGATGACAAAGATATTTCTCTATGCTTCAACCTGCTTCAGCAACCTTTGTCCCTCTGAAACACTCTTTTAAATCAGGATGAAGAATGTGCAGTTCATCTTCGATTACCTGAGGCAGTGGTTCAAGGAAGTACTGTACAGTACTGTATTTTCGCCCTTCAAGAACAGTGTGACTGACAAGAGTTTTGTGCTCTGCCGAGGGAATTTATTGTTTCGCCAGTACAATTCATCCAATCACCACAGTTTGGAATGAAACTCTTCGTTATGTGTGACTGGTGCCGACAATGACATCTCCCAAGATGAAACACTGGGGCTGTCTGGTGCCATTGTAAAGAACCTGTTGCAGCCAAACCTGGGCAAATGCCACACCCTGTTTGTGGATAACTGGTACACCAGCCTTGCACTATTCCTCTTCCTTCATGAAAACCAGACATGGGTCTGTGGAACTGTGCAAAAGAACAGGAAGAATGTCCCCAACTTTAAAAAAAAATTAAGAAGGTGATATCATCCACCTGCAAAGTAAAAATTTCCTTGCAATGAGGTAGCAAGATAAATGCAATGTCACATTGCTCTCCACTGTCCATGAGCCCAAGGTAGAAGTCAGCCAGAACATTAACCCCTTCACAGTGGCGTAGCTAGTGTGTGCTGCCCGGGGCGGCCTCTTGTAGTTTGCCGGGGGGCTTTTGTCTGTACCCCAGTGAGGATAGTGTCTTAGTATAAAATCGCAATGCTGTGAAACAAAATCTTAATATTTAATCTCAGTACCGCAGCAAAAGTCACATCAATATTTTTTAACCAATACTTTAATATTTCTTACCTTATAGTATTATGTCTTCCAACGAAGTAAATAACTGGATCGAAAACACAAGAGAACTTAAAAGTCGTCTAGCCTCCCCTCGTCTTGTCACGATGGAGACTTGTGCAGAACTGAAGTGAATTGCTTGTAACTGGTGGATTGGTCGGCTGTACATGAACTGATATGACCCGAGACTGCATGGTTTTGCAGCTACTGGAGACGTTAATTCTTCCCTTTGTATCGGCGGCAAGTTAATCCTCGTCGTGTCTGACCTAACACCTGACCCACACCACATGAGCTCACTGGCGTACTTGTTTGAAGTTGTTTCCTTAATCCTCAACAGGTTACAGGTTGTGTGTGTGGCGGGGGGCCTCATAGCAAGGGTGTAGCTCATGACGTGGCCGTGATGATGTGGGTCAGGTGTTAGGTCAGACACGACAAGGATTAACTTGCCGCCGATACAAAGGGATGGATTAACGTCTCCAGTAGCTGCAGATATGGGTGATGAGCAGACCCAAAAGTGCCGCCCCCCCAAAAGTGCCGCCCGGGGCGGACCGCCCCCCCCCTAGCTACGCTAGTGCCCCTTCAACAAGCCTGAGTGTGTGATTGACTACAATATCAACATGCCTGGGCTACTCAATTAATTTATTTTATATATATCCATTACTTTTCCCTTCCCATCACACCATCTGCCTCAAGTAAGGTGCAGCTACCCTCTGGTTGCTACCTGTAAAAAGACAGACCATCACTAGAAAAGGTGCAACATATGGCAACTAGAATTATTCCTGAAATTAATCATCTCAATTATCTAAACAGGTTGAGGGCCTTGGGAGTGACAACTCTTCATACAAGACAGAGTGGACCTCAGAAATTCAAAACCCAGAAAGGGATGGAAGACTTAAATCCAAATCACTTCTTCAAGATGTTAATCACAACAAACACAAGAGATTATAGTTTCAAGCTCACCAAGTTATGCTGAGTGAATATAAGAAAGTACTTTACACACAGTGGCAGACTTATGGAACAGTCTACCAACTGAATCTGTGGAAGTGAAAACAGTATTGGGCTTCAAAATAGTCCTAGACAAGACATCAACAAACATTGGAGGGTTCCTACACAAGGTCACTGACCTCCATGAGCCACCTCTAGTTGTGGTATCTGTTAAACTTAGTTAATGTTTATATTACTAATTGACAAATTAAACAATCACATATTCAAATTAATGTAACTGAACCTTTAAATATACTGTACTGTATTTAAGTTAGGCACAGATTTTAAAACTACAATATCAACTATACAGTAAACCCTCACAAATATGTAATCTCTGGCACAATTCACATTAATGCAGCAAATGAATTTAGGACTTTTCCCCCTAACACCCAACACCTTTTCCTCCACACACACATTACCCTTTCCTCCATACACACAACACTCTCACTCCTCTACCGATTACACACCTCCCTCACTTACTACACCCCCCTAACACACACTTCACTCCCTCCTTCACATACCTCTATGGTCATCACCACCAGGCCACCTCACCATGCTAACCACTGCCAGACAACTTGTGGGGACTGCAGACAATTCTTCCTCATCCTTTCTAATGTACACACTGCCTCAGCCTACCTGATCATATTTCATGCTGTGTTACTCTTGAGTGACTGAGAAACATTACTGTAGTTCTGCCAGTGCTTCTGTGATGAAGCTGTCTTAATAAACTGTAAAGATTGTACACCAGTTACAGTATATGTACAGGTAATATATAAACAGGCAGTAAAAAAAAGTCACAATGGAAAGTCTTGTCCTTGCTTAAAACATATCCTGATTTTTTGTATCTGCAGATACACAATTTTGTTTTTAAACCCTTTTGGAATGTAACCTTGTGAATAAACAGGGTGATTTTATTTACAGTAGAACCTTGATATCTCAAACTAATTGGGGCAGACCCCAGTCGAAAAATGTGAATAGTCTCCTCGACTTACGACAACCCGGACTTAAGACTGTCATTGTCGTTATATTATATTAAAATATTTTACATTATTTTTTAGTCTAGATATTTGATGGTAATATTTAACGATGCCTTACGACAACTTCAGCTGGCATGTGTACAGCATCCACGTCATATCCCGCTCTGTTTACAATTATTACCTGTACTATGTATTATTTTCGTTGGTTCAACTTGCGACTCAATCAACTCATGGCCTGGTCGTCGGAAAGGAACCCCGTCGTAAATGGAGGAGAGACTGTGTATAGGGGGGGGGGGGGGGTAACACTGCTTATCTAAACTGTTAAAAGAAAATCAGCTGTTATTTTATTACTGCACTTCAACAACTAAGGTCTTTAAGTGCATAACAAGGTAATTAAAAAAATATTACATCAATAATAAAAAATAAGAATTAACTCTCTAGGTTGAAAATCAGACATATAAGTTTGGTTGTTAACAACTGTTGTCACCGAGATGATTGTTATTTACTAAAAAGTGTTACCCGGTATATGTGTGTTTTATGAATAAAGATAACACTGTATACTGTACAGTACTATAAAGATAAAAATAAGAACAAATATGTGTAAGAGTACAGTATATTGTATGTGGAAGACGACTTCATCTGCAGCTGGGAGGGGGGTTGCACGGGTGGGCGGCTCCCTCCCCCAAGATTCCTTTGACACTTCTTCATGCAATTTCACCACAATTCTCATATAATTTAGGATCATTTGGTGCCAGGTTGATAAAATATTATCCTAAAAGAATCGGCTTTCCTGAAAAAAGAATCCCACACTGAACACCATGAGTCATTTCATACTCATTTGTTTACAAAGGACACTCAGCTGATTGGCTTACCACAATGTCTAAGTGTACAAGTAGCCAAACTGAGTCATCATATAACACTCAAAGGTAGTAAATAACGTTTTTACGAAGGTATCTTCATATCAAATGTTATGCAGTGTGATATTGTGACCCCTGTTGTAAGCTGGTTTGCTGAAAGCTTTCACACAAATTCATCTTGAGTAAATAAACTTCTGATACAGCTTATCCTTTTATTTTCAAGTCGTATTACAAATTACATACAGTATTGTATTTTTTCTCTATTACTGAAGATTTTATAATAATCATGATGAACCATAAACCATAAGAGACCAATCAAATGAGAATATAATGCTGAATCAATAAATAAATAAACCCGAAGAATGCAGCAACAACTGATCAGCTCCAGCCTACTTACACACTCAAGTGTCTTAGTTCTCAGTAGGCCTACAGCAAATCTGATTAGACCACTGTACAGTATTCAGTAAGTGCTATTCATTACATAATATTTTTTTATTGATTTTCCCAAATTTCTTTTCTTTTTTGTTTTTCTGGTGACGATCATTTCAGAGTCTGATTTATCGAGGTTTTACTGTACTTGTTCCTTTAACCATAATTTATTTAAGCTACCACTCATACCTGAATGCAGGTAGCAGACATAAAATTAGGTTTCAGATTCAGGAATTTTAAATAATCATATGCACTTTCTTTTCAATATTTATCTTCAAAATTTACGACTCATTTGATTTGGTTTATCCTAAGCAATACAGGCAGTCCTTAGTTACAAACACCCGCACTTATGAATGGGATCCCAATACATTCATCACAAAAACCTGTTATTAAAATCTCTTTTACAGTACTTAATATTGTTTAACATCACTTTATTTACAGTATTTACATTATTTGTTATGTATGGGATATTATCATTGTTTTGTATGGGCAGGGTTGTGCTATGAAATTAACACTGTTCTGACTTACGAACAGGGTCTAAGAACGTAACCCCTTTGTAACTCGGAGACTGCTTATTTCAAATTTTTTAGCCTTTGAGTCTTCTTTTTTAATACAACATAAACAAAATATATTTTAAGTTCCACTATCAGTGTTGAAGAGAGGGAGAGAAAAGAAGGTTACTCACTCCAGGATGAGACAGACCTGGAATCATCATCATCATCAGGTCCTGCTTCATTGCTGTCATCAGGAGGTGGAGCAGGGGCATCTGGATCACTGCAAAAGAAAGAAGTTATTGAAGTAATCTTATACTTTGATACATAAAGAAGTCAACCACATATAATACTAATCTACTAATCTAAACAATAAGTCTACTTCACTGCTGTAGCCATTACCCTGATGATGAAAGTAGAAGCAAAGGTTTAACTCACATATCATGGAGAGTATGAGATTGAAGGAGCATGTGATGTTACTAGCCAGTGTGCAACTCAGCCTTTCATTTGGGTCAGCCATATTAGTTCTCTATGCATCAATCCCCATTCAGTTCTGGCAGACCTTCACATTAACTCATGGGCAGTGAGAGGGTTTCTTAGTCATTTAACTCTGGCCTCAGCCATAAAATGGGTCAAGTATCTGAAGCCAGGCAGGAAAAGGGAGGATGTTTTAATGATCCAGTTGCTAATGTTACACAGAACCTTACTGGAAAATTCACCCTAATTTTACAAAGCACAGTAGTACAAACTTCTTAACACCACAGTCCATCAAGGCTGTCTTCTTCCCTAGGTAGTGGCTCAAGAATGTAAGTGTTAAGGAGTAGAAGCCTATTTGTAGGATAGATTGAATTAACACACCCTTCAGGAGCCCCTTGGGAGATGCTGGGCTCCCTAATGGCAACCAAGTAGATACAATGTTTGTCTCTTGTCCTAAGAGTTACTGGTTAATATCCAGGGCACCCTCAATTTAGTCACCTATGATTGGGAACCTAACTTCACAGTTAGGAAAAATGAAGGTGATTAAGTGCATTGCTGTTTCCTTGTGAAACAAATAAAGGTGCAGTCTATTGTGTGCTATACTTTCACGACTGCTAACAGTCCGTCAGGAATTTTGAACATACTGTCACACGAAGGCAAAATTTGTAGATGCCTATTATGAAGATTAATTTTTGAGGTTGTCAACAGAACACTTTCCAAGAAGCTATCTTACAACTTAGAAGTTCCTGAAATACTCAGATTGTTGTTTTATTAAGGCTGAGAGAATATGCAATGTCCATTAAATGTTTGTCCTTTTCAAGTCTTTTATTAACTTTTAATTTCACTTCCAATGAAGTAGATTTTCTTATTCTTTTGGGTGCAGAGGCACTGGTCTCACTAGCTATACATTTTTCACCCCTCATAAAGGGATGACATAATTCTTGGGATAAATAGGAGAGATCACTCAGATACACAATCAAGATGGCAACTGAACTGTCTGAGTGAAGGGATGCTGTTCACAGAATATACCATGTGAGAGGTGTTTTTGCTAGCTACTCAAGGACTAGTATACCCTTTCCACGCTAAGCTGGCCCATAAGCCCCGTCCCTCGTCTATAGCTACAAATAGCTGATTGGTTCCCCTGAGCGTTTTACCTCCTCCCAGACTGCACTTGTATAAGCGCATATTTATATCGACCTTAGATGATAAATATTAACAATTTTCTAACATCCTCTTTGAAGTGCTAATGCTTCGAAATCATTTTCATTTTGATAGTTCAGATATTTAACATTATTTTAGATAATAACAGGTCTGCTTACCAATTGTGAACACATTTAGTTTGAATTTTCTATGAACCAATCAGCTATTAGTATAGAAGAGGGGCATGGCTTATGGGCCAGGATAGCATAAAAATACTGTAGTTCACAACCATGTTTGTTCATGTTAAAATGAAATTTTGTTCTGTGAAGTGAAATTGTGTAAATCGAAGAGTTAGGCTATGTCCCATGTGCGAGCCTCCTGCGGCATCGAGCGACCAGGATGCAGATGTGCAACCTACTTTCCAAAGCGACCTGTGTTCCACCTACCAGCGTCTTGCCAGCGAACATGGTGTTTACGCATCGCAGACGTTTGCAGAAAATGTTAGAAAATAATGGTTTTCAACGTGCGGTACCTGCAGTGATACCCAGGAAAAATTATCCCATATATCAGAGGAGGAAGGAAGACTGTAGACAAATTTCACCATCTCTACAAGGAACTTCACCTAGATTCAAAGAAGTTTCACGAGAACACCAGACTGTACTCTGATTGGGGACGAGGCCTACCCATTCTGTGTATATTTCTTGAAATCCTATCCTAGAAATGCTCTGAACAAAGAAAATAAAATTTTTAATCACAGATTGTCACGTGCCTGGCATGTTGAATTTTTACAAGTAAACGGAGAATTTTAAATAAAGTTATTGAAACAAGGGTAGATACTGCTGTTAACATTGTAAAGTGTGCTGCACTTTTCCATAATATCATCACTGACACAGAGGGTCTGGATGCAAAGTCATATGCAATTCAAGAATGTACAGTTGAGAATAAAACAGAACCCTCTAGAATAAACAATGCTTCACTTTCCTTTGCAAAGAATGTGAGAGAAAAACTTTGCAGCTACAGTACTTTAATAGTCCATAAGGATCTATTTCTTGGCAAGATCAAGCTGTTAACAGTGAAAAATGAAAGTATAGCTTTCTTTAGTTTTGGCGTAGAATATGAGGAGTCGCGCGACTGAGGACGCGACGATCAAAACATTTGATCGCTGCTTCCAGGTCGGCGTCTAGTTCCCGCTTCCTGGTCGCTCGCAAACGCTTTACACGTCTACACAGAACACATAAAAGAAAACACATATGTGTGTCTGCTACACTAAGGCAGCGCATTTACTCGTGTGGTCGCTCGATGCCACAGTACGCTCACACATGGGACATAGCCTTACTGTATAGGTTCAGTACAGTGCCCAGGTAGCATAGGAATGAGTTGTTTATTTTAATGTGTGTAAAGCTGGTCTCTGTTACAAAAGGTTCTGAAGTAAGTCATCCTCTCCCACCTGAACTTCCTGCACTATCAACTTTGATCTATGCTTTAAAGTTGAAGATACAGTATTCTAAGCTATGTTTGTTGAGCTTTGTTGATGCCAACCAATTTATTATAAGTAAAACCCCAAAAATATCAGTGAGAAAATAATATGAAATACTCACTCCAACAAAGAGGGGTTAACACCCTCACTTGACATCTTCAATCGGACAGCTGGATCTGGTACACCCATTTTCAACATCCTGAAATACTGTGCATATCGAGAGTCTTGACTGACAGGTGTGGCTGAGGGAGCAGGTGCTGAGGCTTCTGCATCTACTTCATCTCTTCCCTCCACATCCACTGCAGAGTTACCAGCTGAAGACTCCACAGTGGACGATGGAGGGGCCTCTGGATTAGTTGTACTTGGGGTTGGCGTGGTTTCAGAATTTGTGGTTGTAGAAGTTGTTGCTACTGGGGTATCATCAGGGGTTGGTGCCACTACACCCTCCAGGCCAGGCACTGAATTTAGCTGAAACATAACAGTTTAATCAGAAAAAAAAACCTTTATATTACTGTGTTCTTATACAAAGGAATCCAATAGTTGTGGAATAAAACAAAAATCCTCGAACAGTACAGTATGTGGTAATTGTTTCAATAAGTAACTTAAATGTACTTACTCAAATATTTTTTAACATGTCTTATAGGTACAGTAGCTAAAAAAAGTATCTGACAGGGTGGGTCCAATGACTTCCAAAATTATAAGTAAAACTCCTCGACTCCTCCCTCCTCTGTTTCAAGCCCTTAAGTTTTTTGTGCAGTTCCCTCTGCATTACCGTGCGATCTGGGCGAATGAATATATACAGTACTGTACTCCGAAATTCATCGCTCCTTGCGAAGTTTTTTGCCTGCCGAATAAATTCCCATTTCTTATCCTCACTCACTGGTGTGAACTTGTTGTCTTCCTGCTTTTGTCCTAGCCTCCTCACATCCTGAGGGGGTACTGACGTATTCATAGCCTCTGTACAAATAATCTCAAACTTCAACTTATCGTGTGTTTCCCTACTCTCAGCTTCCTCTGACTGGCTCTCAGGGACTCCAAAAATTATTACGTTGTTCTTGCGCTCGAAACGTTCCCATTGTTCCTCCTCTCCCCTGACAACAAGTCTGTTAGTTACCAACTTTTCAACACACTTCTTCAGAGTCCCTAGCTGCTGTAGAACCTGTTCGGATCCTGCATTACTCTCCGCCACCTTCTGTGCCCCTGCTAAAACCTAACTCTTCTTCACTACTCCTTCCATTCTATCAGCTACTTCCTCAGTCTTAGCGAGTAACTCTTTCCCAGCTTCATTTATTTCCGTCCCTAGGAATCTCATTCCCCTATGGTTTGCAATCGCTTCGTTTACTTTGGCTTTACAGTCTGGGCAATACCAGCTACAGCCTTAACTGCATTATATATGGTGCTGAACGCTGTATAGCCCAAACCTGCACACTGTACATCAGACGTCACCCTGCAGTAATTGCATGTCAACAAACTTCCTGGTGAAGCTGGGGTTTTAGCCCCTGATTCCCTACACCTCATGGCTATAATGGCTGTCGCTCTTGGGGAAGAGGTGAGGCGTGTGCAGACTGTACGTATCTTCTCAGCCGTAAGCTCAGTTTACAATGTGATATAATTCTTATCGCCGGCTTAATAATAATAATATTAATCTTTATTAATACTGTGATAATCGCTTCTACTCTGTGTCTTGGTGGCAGGGCTTTAGCGTCAAGGTCCCTTTAAAGCCCCCTGCCCTCGTACATAGGCCTCTTGTCAGGTGCGGACCACCAGACTCTCACACTTAAATTTCTGCTGACGAGGAAATTTACCCCTCACCGGGAAGACTTCCTTTATAATCACAACTACTAATTGTAATCTAAGTGAACTGATATGTGCGAGAGATCATGTCCTTGTGGCAAACTAAAGGTATTTAAAAAAAAATCAGATTTTTTTTAGATTGCCCACGAGGGGGCTAGTTTATTGGGCACCCCCTTACATCCTGTGCAAGGTGAAGCGAAGAAGCGTTTACAGCGCCCATCTGGGAAGCATGCAGAGTTCATGCTTGCCTTTATGACTCGTGCATTAAGGGTGTAAAAGCCTGAAGGGTCATGGGTTTTGTCAGCAAGTTACATAAAGTGACAGAATGATGAGTGTGTGGGGGTAAAGTTCCCGGTACAATTTATCTGTTTATGGCAAAGTGTGGCAGGTCCCTAATAATGTCAAGTGCCAGGCCTGTGACTAGGAGGAGGGATATCTGGGAGGGAAGAGGTGTTTTTTTTATTTTTTTATTGGGCACACCCCTACATCCTGTGTAAGGTGAAGCGCAGAAGCGTTTACAGCGCCCAACAGGGAAGCATGCTAAGTTCATGCTTGCCTTTATGTCTCATGAGTTAAGGGCGTAGAAGCCTGAAGAGTCAAGGGCGTAGAAGCCTGAAGAGTCAATGGTTTATGTCATCAAGTTATTGGAAGCTCCAACAACTTTCCCTGAATACGAATTCGCAACTTTCGACATACATCAGGTACCTACATTACTGCTAGGTGAACAGGGACCAAGGGGGCTAGGAAGTACAGGTATGTCCAAACAAATTTTCCACTGGCCCGGGAATCGAACCCGTGACATCTCGCTGTGAGGCAAGAGCGGTACCATTCTACCATCGGCGCCCCTGGAAGAGGTGTTGGTAACGGCTGCTTAGCTGCCCTGCTGCTGGCCTTGACCTGCTGGCACCCTCGTTTGTCCAGTGTTGCCGTCCGAGACAGTTTGACTCGTTTTCTTTTTTTCCAGGTCTCCTCAACGAGTTATTGGCATCTCTTTGTGCTATCCCTATGTACACCATATTGTGCTATGAATGGTGGATCATATGAACAATCAGTCCTTTAGAAAATACAGAGAAAAAAAGAAGAAAAACTTTCTTTGTGTCGCCCAGCTCTTTTTTTCTTTTTAATTATTATTTACTTATGGTCTCATTTCCAGTTCTCATCAACGAACTCATATCTATGTGCTATCACTGTATCTCCCTATGAACGGTGGATCGTAAGCACAATTTCAGTACCTGAGAAAACAAACACACACAAAAGAAAAACTTTCTTTGTGGCACCAATATTACTTGGTTTGCTAATGGCAGTGGTGTCTGATTGCTTGTCCTAATTTGTTTTTATACTTTAATTTATTTTCAACCTTCACCACGGTCACTGTTATCACTATGGACTGTCTTAGCTGAAGGCACACTACTACACTCTCTGATTAGCCTTTGCATAGTCAATCAACCATGCTCGCATCTCATTTAAAATTTTCTGAATAGCTCCTGTCACATGGCAATGATTTTGTGGTTATGTACCTCCCGGCATATTCCTCTGGTCAAGAGAGTGTTTTTCAATATACAATCGCGAATAACGTTAAAAATCCTCCGTTGATTTACTGTACACATTAACATCACTATGACGATCTTGATGCTCTTATGTAATCACTGTCCAATTTCTGCCGCTCAACAACGAAGGCCCGAGTGCCAACACGCTTTGTTACGGATATGCAACACGACACAGCCTGCCCGACCCTAACTTCTATAGTATGCGGTAGTTTAAATTCTGAAGCATAGAATGAAGTATCAAGGGCGGGGGGTCCTGGGTCCGGACCTCCCTTTTCACCAGAAAATTTCAATACCTTTTCTTTAATGCAGTATTATACTCAGGCATTTTTGTATCGTAAAAAGTATTTACTATTGACTTAAAAATATCTCCTAATATCAAGTGCGCAGGGCTTCAAAATGCTAATGGTATTGGTCAGATTTCAAACCCCCCAGCTGGGTCGGCTCGCCATGTTCCCCCACCCACAACTTCTTGGACTCCCCCTTTTGATATCCCTGGATTCGCCCCTGAGTATGTTATATTTTATTGTCAATATTGTTCCCTCATTGCAGTGCGCATGATTTATATGGAATGCTTTTTTAAAATAAATCTAAATCGCCTTTTTCGGTGAGAGTTGTGAACTCTTGGAACAATCTGTCAGAGAGCGTTGTGAAGGCACCGAGTGTGAGCTCTTTCAGGATCAGGCTTGATAAGCACTGGAGCAGGTTCAGATACATTGAGGAGTCAGTACATGCTCAGTACCTGCCAACAGTGTGTAACAGAGACATTGTAGTGGATATCTCCCCTACAACTACAACTGACGTCTGTCGCTGACTAGCCGACCCCTTTTCGAATTCCCCAGCCAACACCTCGTGGTTTAAGGCCAGCTACCAGCGCCGCCTAACAAAGCGGAGATCAACTATCAAGCCATGCCTACCTCCGCTATATAAGACCTCACCTCGCCGTGACCTGCCCCTTCTTCTACCTACAGCCACATAGCAAGCTACACCTCCTCTGAGCACGGTCCTCACCAACCAGCTCTCTCTACTCCACGCTTGTAACCACGCTGCCACTCCCCAGCATCAAGCTGCACTGTACATGTACATCCAATACAAGATATACATAGAGAGCGCATTATGAGTTTCCTTTCTCCAACCCATCCTGAGTGTGAACTAACATCACGAAACCCCACAAATGGTGACCCCCGGAGAACTGCACTCACACAGGATGGAGGAGAAACGGATCACTCTCCCAGTCTTCAATCACAACATTGAAGACTGGCTTATCCACACGGAGGCAGCTCTCATCGGCTCTACAGCTACAGTCCCTACACCGCAGGTTAGACACCCTAGAGCAGCTCTGCTCCTCTTCCTGCCCCAAACACCACGTCCTACCGACCCCAACGCACCCGTCCTGCCTCAGACGCCGCCCCCAGCCCCCAGCACAGTGTATCTACCACAACATTAAGCGAGGACTTACTGTACGTATTTCAATACTTACTCCAGTAATGTTATTAAGTCCACTTAGTCTCACCCCATGATCACTGCAAAAGTATTACAAAAGTAACATTTACCAATACATTCTGAAATGAGCTCAGTACAGTATACAGTATGCTGTACAATTATAAATAAATACGTTACGTACATAACAAGAACATGAGTGTGGTTGTATGGAGTACAATAAGGCGAGGTCTCTTCTTGTCTTTATAAGAAGTTCAGTTAACAATACGCTCTGTGTATTGACAAAATGCTTCCTCTAACCTAATCCTAGCTAGTTAAAAATCTACAGGACAGTCCTTGATGCCCAGCAGGGCATTAAAAATATTATCTTTCTTTGATCGTGTGAATAATGTATCCTATCATCCTATCATTAATGTCAAGACCTTTTGAAATCCAAGGGTGAGAGAATTTCAGCATTAAGCATCTTACAGGTCACTTGTTTCTTCCCTTGGTTATAAAATGGGATTCCATGCTTCAGTTACTAATATTCAGTGAAACATTACTGTATGCTGAGACTATTTCAACTATTCTGTATATTGTATTCATATCTCAAAACACAGTTGACAACTCTATGGATATACTGTACCAGTAAAAAATAAATTAAATATAAATGAACTTTACCTTAGCCTCGAGTATGGCCAGTGTATGATCAGCTCTGCGAAGTTTTGTATCAAGGATCAAGAGTCGTTCTTCACATACTGCTGAGAATTGGTTAAGGAAGGCCACAGTGTGTAGTGCCCAGTGGTTGATGAAGGCAAGAGTTCTTTTCTGATTGATTGCCTCAACCTGACGGAGAAGACGCCATTAAGTGAATTACTGTATTTCAAATCTACTATAAAACAAATAACAAGTTTTTATACCACATAAAAGGTTGGCAGCTGTCACTTAAAAATATTGTAATTAATCATGCTGGCTCACTTAATGCTAATTCAGTTTTTATAGGTTAGAAAACAATATATTAACTTCAATGTAAAAAATAAATGCAATGTTTATTTCCTTTAGGAACTTTGAGAACTACTTGAAAAAAGCTCACAATTGTTTCTTCTACCATTCCTCACTACTTTCTTTTATAAGAACATTGATCAAGTAATTCTAAGGAAATGTTGTATAAAATCACTATTAAGATGAGTAACTACAGTAAAGCTTTTCCATTACAGTATTCCAAAAATCCTGCATTGTATTCTTTCAAATCAGCTCAAAGTACAATACTGTACAGTACAGTATGCTAAACATGAAAGTTTTATCTAAAAGTAACACGTACCAACATGGGTCCAGGTTAAACATTTACCTAACGAAAAGTATATCTATAGAAGAAAAATTGGTTCTTATCTTAAGAATAAACAAATTGGGTGGAGGAATTGCACTTTTCATAGTTATTTTCCCCCAAAATGAAAGGAAAAAAGACGCACTGTACCCATCCTCCACCCTGATGATGCCATCGTTGTGTTTCTTGTTGACAAATACTTCCCAGTGACCGACCAAATTCTTAAGTGAAGGAGCGGTTTCCACACAAACTGAAATATTAACACCCTAATCTACCTAACCAAACCTAACATAACCTGGAAAAGGCATTGTGTATGAAAAAGACGATGCTGGAAGTATTTGTCTGTAGCAGCAAACTAACACTGTACAGTATTAAGAAAATTCTAAATCTTTGTCCGTTTTCTGATATCCTTAATCCCTTCACTTTTATGATTTTATCTGGCCAACACCAGACGATTTTGTTCAGCTCAGAGGGGACCCCGTACACAATGGGTTAGTGTAAACAGTTGAAGCGGAGAGAATGATGGTCTCTTCAGAAGGCACGAAGGAGTATCTTTACACAGTATATGGCAAGAAAAACTAGGGAATAAAATAATATACCAATTGTGTTATTCCTCCAACCCAAACAATTCATTCTTGAAGTAAGAAATAAGTTTTTTCAATGGATACTTTTTGTTAGGTAGCTGACTAACCTGGACCCCTTTCATTAGTGATACCTTGATGCCTTCCAGAATACAGTACACACAAGTAATATCAGTTAACACATAAATGAAGCCTATTTTAGCAATTTAAGAAATTGACTTTGTAAAAGGTTTACTGTACTTGAAAAATACAACATATGCATAAAAATTTGTGCATAGGGATATTAACTAATATGGTTAGGTTTCAGTAGAGCACAACCACGGAAGTCTAAATTGATTTTTATATTTTTTTCACAAATTTTTAGTTTTCTAAGTTATTTTGATCTTTCGATTTTACTTACAAAATTAAAATTTGGAGGGTTTTCAGTTCACACTAACTAGTTCATGGGATATGTTGTTGAAGTTTTGGTGTAACATGATACTACTGTGCACGCCCATATTTATAAGTTGCAATTTATCAGAAGTAAGAAGTGTTCTCTGAGTGAAGGGTGCCCTACCTTAGAACTGCAAACCTTTCAACGTGTCTTAGTAAGTAACGCCACTGCAACTGACATTTTCAAGATCTATGGTGTTCAACAAACTTCAATATTGTGTGCAAAGTGTGGTGCGGACTGCCATTACTGTATTGTAAAGAAAAACACGTTTGTTTTTACATGAAACAACCCAAAATTGCTAAGACAAAGGTAAGGTTAAGTGAGGTAAAGTTAGGTTAGATAAAGTAAGGTTAGGTCAGGTTTTTTTAAGTTTGGTTTGGTCCCAAAGATGCAAAATCTTGGAGGATTGGTAAAAACAGCTCAAAAACGTATAGAATGGAGGACTGTAGTCGCCAACCCTCACATACAAGAATGGTGCATACTTTTTTCTCTATCTCCTTATATCAAAATCATATTGATTTCTGCGGCTGTACTCTACTGAATCTTTACCACTACTTTGAAGCAAATTCAAATTTAAAAAATGCATTATTTTTCTCAGCCCCATTGCACCATGTTGAAGTCATCACAAGTGATCAACCAATGAGCATCAAGGAGGTTCTAAAGTTTAATTATTTTAGCCAATAAGCAGTGAATAGCAATACTGTATTCATCATCTTTCCTGCCAAGTTGTTCAACAGTTGTATGTGTTGAGCCTTTCCTGAACATCTTTTTTTTTTTTTTTACGAGAATTAGCCCACCTGGGCACAGGTCACTGACCCACATCGGGGCCTAGGGGGCAAAAATGTAATAATAATAATTATAATAATAATACAGGTAATAATAAAAATAATAATAATAATAAAGAACCATAAAGAAATACAAAAATGAAAAAAAAATCAAGAGTGAGAAACAATACAGTATATGTATGTTGTGTTGTCAAAGTAAGAGAAACAATTGAGACCCTGCAATTGTGTGTAAATGAGGCAGAAAGTCAGATCAGCAACCTGGGACTTGGTCACAATTTTCGTGATGCCATATGGCAGCAGGGTCTACCATTAGACAACACATTATGCTTCCAATATCTTCCCAGGCGGTAGTACCTCCCTGTTTGGTAGCTGCCTACTACCTATAAACCTGTGGCCAATGTAATAATCCGTGTCTACATTTAAGAGAGATGTAGTTAAAATACTGGAAGATATATAAGATTAGATTAAGTTTTGTTATGTTAGGTTAAGTTTTCCTTTTTGAACAATTTCAATATAAGATAATTAAGGTGAGGTTAAATTTTGTTTTGTCAGGTTAGTTTTCCTCTTTGAATAAGGATAGGTTAGGTTAATTTAACAAATAACCATAAAAATCGATACAAGCTTTGATAATATATGTAGTAATACAAGACATACCGTGGGCAGTTAGGAAGAGAAATGTGAAGGTAGAGGGAAGGGCAAGTATGTTAAGATAAATCATGGTGGCAATTACAAGAAAACAATTTGGTTTATAGGAAATATATTGAGAACATTTGGTAATCATATAGGACTAACCCGCGGGCGAAAATTTTTGAAAGCAATTATAAAAATGCCGGATTTTCATTGTTATATTATAGTGGACACTGTCGTAGTTTGGGTATGAACAACAGACCTAACCAACCTAACCATACCTAACTTCCCCGGTATATTAAACAGAAAGAACTTACTACGATATGGTGAAATTTGAGGCATTTTCTGGATGTGAGATGATACAGCTGCAACAGCGCTATGCAGCCCGGCGGGTTAGTCCTATATATTAACCGAACATTTATAAGGGAAGGTATAATTATTGTTTCAGTCATCCACCGATTTGGAAGTTCAAATTAATATTTCAAAACACATCAAAAATCATCGGAAATAATAATTTTAACCTAACCTGCTGGATGACCAAAACGATAATAATACAGAATGGAATATTTAAGCTTGTTAGAGAAAATAAGAGAAAAGAACAGGTTACTGGACACGACTAATGGTAAATATTTATCACACTTCAAATTCTCCTTATATTGTATAACTTTGGGTTCATTCCGCCTACAGAGTTCATCTTGGTATCAAACAGAAGCTTATAAAACGAAAAACAACTTTATAACAAGAATAACCCACCCCCAAAGTCGTTTTATATATATTTACTGGTCTGAAAAATTCTGTCAACCAAGTACGAAAGTAAAAATTGTCTTATAGGTAAAATTTCTGGGTTTTCTCTCTATTCCACAACAACTTATATATTTAATAAACTCCTACTAGTACCAGAGACGTCGACTAACCTTAGTAAAGTCTACATTTGGTGAAACTACAGGACTTCTCTCCATGTTGACTAGTTGAACGAGGGGCGTCACTCAGCTGTTGCCTCTGATTGTCAAATGAGAACTGAGTCTAAGATAAACTTTCATGTTGTAAATTAATGCAATCATAAATATATATAAAACCATCTCTATATATTAGATCTATTCCCAGTAAAATATAATAAAGAACAAGAGGTGAGGTAATAATGAACAGGAGGTGAGGTAAAGTACAAATACGTCTTATGGTAATGAACCCTATAACATTAACTGTTTCATTAATTTACTATTTCATAAGCTTATTGTCTATAAAATAAATATAACATAATGTATAGGTCATATGTTCACTAGACATTTTGGACCCGCGGAAATTGCAGGAGGTAAATTCTCTCAAGCTTTATCTTATCATTTGATTGTCCCTTCTCCAATATCAAAAGCTCTCTTGACAACACTTAATAAGCCAGAAATAACTCAAAATCACAACCATTTCAGAAATAACTCAAAATCACAACCATTTCAGAAATAACTCAAAATCACAACCATTTCAGAAATAACTCAAAATCACAACCATTTCAGAAATAACTCAAAATCACAACCATTTCAGAAATAACTCAAAATCACAACCATTTCAGAAATAACTCAAAATCACAACCATTTCACAAATAACTCAAAATCACAACCGTTTCAGAAATCAATAGGTGTGGGTTTACAGGAGAGTGCGCGAGGAAAGTAATATATATGTTTCGAGTGTTTGTAACTTTATATAACTCATCTGGTGCCTAGATTAATGATGAACTATTAAATGGAGTATACTTGGCTTACCAGGGATAAAAATATCACGTGAATAATTAATACTGAAACGAATAAGTGTAGTAACTGCGAGGAAGACTAGGTGCCATCATTGACAACAAGCATTTAGTACTTGACAGGTAAGTTGACGGACACTGAAGGTGATTTTTATTTTATATATTGTCATGTAATTGCAAGCTTTAGGCCTGAGATATCAGATTTTGCGTATGGTGTCTGGGGGTAATATTAGTCCATTGGCTGTCCTCAGGTTCCCGCCATATTTATCTGAGGGTTTACTCTTCACTTAAGATTCAATTGTCTCTTCCTTAACTCCTCTTCCTTGTAGGTTAGGTGTAAAGTCAAATTTGAGTAAAATATCAAAAAACGTCAAAAATACCTTATTCTCGTTCTAAAATCTGAGAACAGCCAACGGACGAATATTTACCCATAATATTAATAGACGTATCTTGTGGTAGCGTCAATGTTGTTTGTTAGATAATTCGACTATTAGCTACTGATAACAGTGACCAATAAGATTTTTCAGCATACAGTATGTATATTTTGCTCTGTAGCTTAGTGTCTGTACTTTAGCTTCCCGGCATATCTTCAGCGAGTGAGAACAAGCTGTCACTTAATGTTGTCTGATTATGGTAGGAATAAGGTGATTACAAGACCAGTGGTGGGGTAAACATTCTTAAGGTGCAAATTTTACGAATTTAACACTTGAAAATAGAAAAATGGATGACAGTTTTCACATGGAACTGGGCGAGTAGAACACCAATAATATACTTCCCAATATTTAAATTAAAATGAAGTCTGCTTTGAAGACATAGAATCCGAGCTATAAGTAACGCCACTGTATTATTATTATTATTATTATTATTATTATTATTATTATTATTATTATTATTATTATTATTATTATTATTATTATTATTATTATTATTATGGTAAAATTTAAATAGGTTTTTTCGATGTGAAATACACTAAAACGTTTGGAACTTCGTGTTTTCTTTTTTCTTTGTGGTTATCAGCATTATACAATACATGGATCACGTGTTCCTACAGTGATCTATTTGTATGTATGTATGGATAGTGATAGGGAGATGGTCAGTTGTGGTGAGAAGAATATACGGTAGCTGTGGTTACGGATTAATGAATGATGCTAAACTGATGACAAGAGATGATTACTGATGTCTCTCGTAAGAAATCATCTCTCTCGCTCTCTCTCTCTCGTCAGTAAATACTTTCGCTCCCTCCGCCATATCGACCAAGTTTCGCTCGAACTTTAGCATATACCTGATGGTTGTCTCAGGGTTTTCCTTTTCCTCTCCCTTTAAGGTAAATATTAGGTGTTGAGGCATAATTATGAGGGGGTAAAAAAAGAAGTGTGAAGTAGGGCGGTGGTGAGTAGGCTGACCCTCCCATGGCCCAGGAAAAACAATATCCGCCCGTATGACAACCCACTCACCCCCCACCCCCTGTCGTTTCTCTTACAGGAGGTGGAAAATAAAATGTTACTAAAACGCAGAATTAAAATGAACCACAGATGTGACATACGTACTTATCGTATGGCAGCCCTTGAATAATGCAGTCACTACAAAGTTAAGGGCGTCGAATAGTTTTGGCCCGCACCGCCTGTATTTTTCAAGTAGGCCTCTTTAGACTTGGCTTTAATACCTTGGGAGTTAATTTTACTTTAAACAAATAAGTTATGGGTATGTGGCTTTCTTACGAATATATTGAGTTCAGAATAAATAAAAATATATAATGTAGAAATTAATTAAGAAATATATGGATAGTCAAAGACTGGCAATCTGAAGTAACGTTAAGGAGAAAATATAAAATGGTGGTGCTACTGAAGCTGTTTTAACTTAAAAAGATCCTGGGACGCGTTCATTTGGACAACGTTCGCTACGTAGAGCGAGCATATGATCATGACTCAGAATTTGTAGATTGAGGCAACTTCTGTAGAAACATAACTAATTAGTAGTGGGTGTTTGCACCCGACCGAAATAACAACGTCAAGCAAGTCTACGGACCTGGCGCGCCCACATTCAACCACAACAACTATAATAAGGAAGCTGAACTGACACACATTTCCATTATTTTCAAAAAGGTCCCCCAAATTTAGTACAGCGCCACCTGCTACTGAGTGAGTGTACTACTCAGAGAGAACGTATAGAGAACGAATTGGGTGAACTAAAAATGTTACTCGAAAGCAATTATATATATACCTTTTACTTTTATCCTCTTCGCCACCGATCGGTTCGTTAGCCGAATTGGTATTGTTATCTTATACGAGTATGGAGATTCTAAGCAGTCTACTGGAACTCGCATAACATCGTCTCTACTAAGAAAATATCAACGATAGGATGGATAGAAGGCCTCACGTGACTGGAGAGTTGAAAGAGGGTTGATTGACTCCCAAATTCTATTATTACTGCCAACGGTCCTCTGTGATTGTTGCTCCTTCAACCATCAACGTCAAGTGAGTCGTTGTTATGCGTCACTTTTTTACTTTTACTTATTTTTCACTTCCGTGTATATTTTTACTTTCTGGTAAATTGAGTTTCAAGGGAGAGAGGGAGATAAGGAGGGAGGGATTAGTTTGAGATATAAATAAATCAGTATTTTGTGTTCGTTAGGGAGGAACGTTTATTGGTGGCAGTTATACAGGAAGTGAATAAAATATGACTGGAGGTGAGGAGATATTTACCCTCTTACCTGACACATGTGGTTTACAGGTAAGCAGTAATCCCACCCCGCCCTCTTAGTTCATGGTTTATCAGTTCCCCTTACTTTACGCCTCTCTCAGAAACTTTGTAAGAGGGAATTTCCTGCGGCGTCAGCGACTTTGAGGCCCCGAGGTGGATCACAGTCATTACGTCAACCCTCAAGTTTGTCTAATTTTTCGTCTTTTTCTGGAACTTGGTTGAGATGGTGGTGACGGTGGTGGTGGTGGTGGTGGTGGTGGTGACGAGGATGATGGTGACGATGATGGTGATGTTAATCCTGTCAGGCTTATGGATTACTAATACTCCGGTGGTGGGGGAGGGGTACACACACACACACACACACACACACACACACACACACACACACACACACACACACACAGTGCTCCTTGAACACGCCATACCTACACTTCAATAAATGTTGAACTTGGAGGTGAAACTCCCGTCAGCTGAGAGCGATGGACAGACTGACATTCAGACATGCCGAGACGTGTTTCAGGCCTGTGACGTCACCACCTGACCTGACCTGTATTCTGGGTCTCTCGGGTATGACAGGAAGGGGGGGGGGTAAAGGTGGGTGTTGGGGGAGGTTTGTTTTGAAGATTGTGACAGAGGAAAATATATTGCAAAGAGAGAGAGAGAGAGAGAGAGAGAGAGAGAGAGAGAGAGAGAGAGTTTTCCTTTCATTCTTTTTCACTCGCTAGGATGGATGTGAGGCCGACACTGCACTAAACCACCTTCATTTTCCTCAACCGCAAAGTTAGGTACCCATTGACAGCGGCGGAGGTGAACTAAGCTGCTTCCTGGGGGCCAACTGTATTGTATTATAAGCGACTGACCATAAAAACAAGAAGCGAGAGTTGTACAGTATTACCCATCGCCGTTTATGCTCCACTTTTTAATACTATAAATATATGTACAGTGCTGTGTTATTCCTATGGCAGAATAACGCTCCTCCCCCCTCCCTCCCCCTCCCTCCCTTACGAATTATGTTAACCCTTGTTGCTTCTGACGAGTCAACACCAGTTCATCTCCCTTCCTCCCCCAGCGAAACAAAACAATATTAGACTCTATCCTTTCCACTCATTCACGCACACTGTTGCTTCCTGGATGTATGTCTGTCTTCCCCCTTTAATTTTAGTATGTCCTTTATTCTATCCTTTCTTCTTCTTCTTCTTGGTCTCTCCTTCTCCCCTTTCTACCTATCACCTCTGATTAATATTCTATTTAACTGTGTCTCTCTTCTCTTTCTTCCCACTTTCTCTCTACATCCACGACACCTAAACAGACCCTGATCTTCTCTCTACATCCACGACGCCTAAACAGACCCTGATCTCTCTACATCCACGACGCCTAAACAGACCCTGATCTTCTCTACATCCATGATCACGACATCCACGACCTAAACAGACCCTGATCTTCTCCATCCACGACACCCAAACAGACCCTGATCTTCTTACATCCACGACACCTAAACAGACCCTGATCTTCTCTCACATCCACGACACCCAAACAGACCCTGATCTCTCTCTACATCCACGACGCCTAAACAGACCCTGATCTTCTCTCTAC